AGTCATCAAGCATTTATTAAGTTCTTACCTATGTGCCAGGCACTGTGCTAAGCATCAGGGATACAAAGAAAAGCAAAAACGTGGTCCCTGCTCTTAGGGGCTCATTCTAATGGGATGGACAATATGTAAATAAGTAGGTATATATAGATACATAGAGAATAAATGAAAAGTAATCTCAGAAAAGAAAGCACCAGAAGGGGAGGACCAGGAAAACCATCTTCCAGAGGTGAAATTTGAGTTGAGTCTTGAAGGAAGGTATGGAAAGCTATGGAAACTAAGACACAGGTGAGGAAGGAAACAGAGGACAACCAGTACAAAGCTACAGAGACCTGCACAAAGCTGCAGAGACCAGTATATTTGGTCCTGTCATATCTGAAGAACAGCACGTAGATCAGTGTTGCTGGGCATATAGAGTACATGGAAAGAAGTACAGTACGACAAGAAAGGTAGGAAGGGAACAGGTTATGAGGGGATCTGAATACCAGAACTCTTTATATTTGATCCCGGAGGTAATAGGGTACCACTGGAGTTTACTAAGAAAAGGAGTGACATGCTTAGACCCACACTTTAGAAAAATCACTCTAGTAGCTGAATGTAGGGAGAGATGAACCTGAAGGTTATTGCAATGGTCCAGGTGAGAGGTAATAAGCAACTGAATTAGAATGGTGGCTGTGTGAGTGAGAGAAGGGGATGTATATGAATGATGCTGTAAAGATAGAGATAGAAAGATATGGATATGTAGGGTGAGCAAATATTGAGAATGACACCTGGTACAGTAGATAGAGCTCTGGCCTTGGAGTCAGGAGGACCTGAGTTCAAATCCGTCCTCAGACACATGACACTTACTAGCTGTGTGACTCTGGGCAAGTCACTTAACCCCGATTGCCTCACTAAAAAGCAAAAAACAAAAAAACAAAACAAAACAAAAACACTAGAGAATGTCACCAAGGTTATGAGCCTGGCAGAGTAGGAAGATAGGGGGGCCCTCAATGGCAATAGAAGTGTAGTTGAGGGAAAGGCTGGGATGTGGGGACATGTTAAGTTTGAAATGCCTATGTAACACCTAGTTAAAGATATCCAAAAAGTAGTTAGAATGTGAAATCCTCGAAGGAAGGGACTGTGTTTTGTTGGTTTTTTTTTTTTTTGGTTGTGTTTTGTTTTTGGTTTTGGTCTTTCTTTGTACCTGTGCCTATGCTCAGTGACTGACACATACTAAGCACTTAAAAAATGTTTGTTCAAAGACTAAATGACCAAGAAAGACTACATAGATTTAGAAAGATATATAGACATATAGATTTTGGACTATAGAAATAATTGAACCTATAGGAAATGATGAGATCACCAAGTGAAACAATATAAAGTGAAAAGAGAAGATAGTCCAGGGCAAAGTCCTGGAGGACACCCATGGTTAGTGGGCATGGCATAGATGAAGCATTAGTAAAGGAGAATGAGAAGAAGCAGTCAAGCAAGAGAACTAGAAGAGAAGAGCGTCACAAAATCCACACATCTTTGAGTTTCCAGGAGGAGGTGGTCAACAGTGTTAAATCCTGCAGTGGGATTTAGGAGAATCAGGATTGAGAAAAGGCCATTAGACGTTGCAATTATAGGCCACTGAGATAATTGGTAACTTTAGAGAATGCTGTTTCCATTGAATAATCAGAATGGCTGAAAGATTAGAGTTTAGACTGATATTAGAGACTAGAATGGTATTGAGTGACTAGAGGTTAGAAGCCAGATTACAGAAGGTTTAAAAGAGGATAAGAAGACAGGAAGTGGAGAGTAGGTAGCTTTCTCAAGGAGTTTGATTTGAGAAGACAAGAGAAGAGATATAGGACTATAATTAGTGGGGATGGTAGAATAAGGTAAACTTTTTTTAAGGACAGAGACTTGGACATGTTTGTAAGTAGCAGTGAAGGAGTCAATAGATACAAAGAGATTCAGTGTAAGAGAAAAAGTAGGGGTGAAAGTGGAAGCAATCTACTAGAGAAGATGGGAGGGAACAGTATCAAGGGCACATATGGAAGGTTGCCTTCGGAGGAGGGCCACCTCTTTAACCAAGGCCAGACTGAAGGAGGAGGTAATCAGGGAAAGGTATCTGATTGATATGAGATGAAGAAGAGAAAAGGGGGAGTGCTGGAATAGCCTCATTTTATTCAGTGAAATATGAAGGGAACTCCTATGTCTCATGTTGCTGCTTGCTCCCCAATACAGCGTTCCTGATTCTCTGCTGAGCTGGGATCGTCTTATTCGTTTTCTCTGCAATGCTGCTCTCTGCTGGTTTTTAGCTCCTGTACAACTTCTTTCCCAGTGGCAGGGGAACCTCTTTTGTGATTTCAGATGCACTTGGGCATTTAAATTGGTCTTTTGAACTTAACTCCTCAGTTATATTTTAAACTTTCGGTGAAATTCTAATTTGTGTTATGGTCAAAAGAGTAATTTTCATTCTTATCTTACCCATGAGTCCCTGTTGATCACCCCAGGAGTTCCAGTTAGCAAAACTGCAAAGCACTGCAATGGAACTATGGTGAGATTACTTTTAAGCCCCATCAAGTCTGTCCATGGGCTACACAATAACTTAATGGCAAGACTAGAGAAAGGCTGTTGGATGGAAATGCAACCTTTCCTCCTTTTCCCACCTCATTCCCCGCTCCCATCTGTTATGGGTGGAATAAAGGAACTGAGTAATTGCCTCCAGGCAACGATATATTGGCAGTATATGTGGTTGCAAAACAAACTGGGTCCAAGACTCTCAGTAGCTAAGGACCCAGAAGCTTGGTTTCTCACAGATAATATATAATTTAGAGGGAATAAAAAAAAAAAAACACAACAGGAAAAACACAGGATTATAGGGATTCAGATATCTGGTTTCTCCTTGGTGGAAGGGGGGGGGGCTAGAGAGAGTTGGGAGACACTGAGATGAAAGGAAGAGGAGTATTCTTGTGACATGCTTTAAGTCAGGTGTGAAACCTCCTAAATCAGGTGATTACGTGGAGTTGAAACATAACTTCACAAAAAAGTGGATAAAAGCAAAAGAGTCACTAATGCTAATTATTTTAATGTAACACACCCCAGCAATCAGTTGCTTTTGGGGATTAGAGGACAGGCTACGGAGAGGCATATGATCAGCATGAGTAAGCTGTGACACACTCATAATAATTGCTGACATTTATAGAATGCTTGATGGTTTGCAAAATGCTTTGTGTGTGTGTGTGTGTGTGTGTGTGTGTGTGTGTGTAATTAATAATTAACCAAACAAGAGAAACAGAAAAAAGGATGCCATCAGATAGATATATTATGGTCTACTGAAAAAGAAGGTGGGCAGGTTATATTGAAGGAGTGTGGTATAACCCATAGATAGTCCTCTTGCTGGCATACATGCAAGGTTAAGAGAACTACAGAAAGACCCTTCCCCCACCCACCTCACAGAGTTGTTGTGAGGATTAAATGAGATATTTGTAAAATGCTTAGCACAGTGCCTGGCACACAGCAGGTACTTTAAAAATACTTATTCCATTCCGTTCCGTCATCTCAGCACATTGAGTGGTCCAATGGAGACCCTGTGGAGGATTTATGGAAGGATGTGGACAGGAGTCACAGAAAATGATAGGGTGTATATGGGTGGTGATCTGTATCCTCAGAAATTCCCATATGAATGAGATCATCCAAGTATGGAAGAAAACGAGTAGATGGTAGAAATATTCTCTCTGGGGGACAGGGTGAGTACCAATTAGGTTAAATCAACCCAAGGGGCCAGTTAAGAATGCTAGTACAAGGCACCTCTTCCAGATGGGTGGAGGCCCCTCAGGTGCCTGGATTGGGGAAGGGGAAGATCCAGGCCTATGGAAGCAAGGGGGGTCCTTCCGGAAGAGAGATTAACCTTGTTCTTCTTGGTCCTAAAAAAAGCAAACCTAGGAGCAGTTGGTGGGATTTAGAAAGGTAGATTGTAGATCCACCTAAAGAGTAATCTTCCAAAAAATCAAAGTTTTCTAAAAGTGGATTGAGATGCCTTGTGAGGGAGTGGGCTCCCTGTCATTAGAGGTCCATAAGTGGAAGAAAGAGATCCATTGGTTGTCGACATTGTAGAAGGGATTGCTGCTCAGATGCTGGTAGCACTTGATGATTTTCCAGGTCTCTTCCAGCTCTGAGCATCTGGGATTCTGAGATTTGGTGATTGGCTGCCTGGGTGGAGCAGAACCTGGAGCAAATCCCTAAGTAAAGGGCTCTCTCTTCCTTTCCTTCCTTCCTCCTTTTCTTTTTTATTTTTTAAATAAATAAATAATTTATTTATTTATTTATAACATTCACTTTTTAAAAATTTGAGTTTTGAATTCTTTCACTCTTCAGCGCCCCCTCCCCATGAGAAGACAAGAAATGTGATAATATAAATACATGTGAAATATATAATATATATAATATAAATGTGAAATCATGCAAAGCATTTTCATATTAGCCATATTGCAATGAAAAAAAAAGGCAAGAAAAATAAAGAAAGTGAAAAAATTATGTTTCAATCTGCACTCAAACTCCATCAGTTTTTCTCTCTGGAGGTGGATAGCATTTTTCATCATAAATCCTTCGGAATTGTCAGATCATTGTATTGATCAGAATAGCTAAGTCACTCTCTTCCCTTCCTTTCAATAAACATTTGTCAGTCAATAAGCATCTATTAAGCGCTTACTATGTTCCAGCACTGTGCGAGGTGCTTTCATCTCAGGACTCCGAGTTCTAGAGCGCCAGACGCACTAGCAGGTAGAGGAATAGGCGGGGTGTAATAGTCCTACAAGTGGTTGAAGGCGGAACTTGAGGATGTAGGAACCCGTCTCTCGCCGTCTCCGGGTGGGGAGGGAGCATTTCCCCCTTGCACCCGCGTCCCCATCCCCGGAGGAAGCGGCCGCACTTCCGGCGCGCGGCGGTAGCGGCCACTAAGGAGCGGCTGTCAGCCGGCGTTTGGAAACGATCCCTCGGGGCGTCTCGGCCCCCGGTCCTCAGTCCTCCAGGGCCCCCGCGGCCCGGCCTCGGGTCAGGAGGGCCTCGAAAAGCGGCTGGGCGTCCGCGATGGATCCGGAGCTGGCCCGGAGCCTCTTCTTCGAGGGCGCCACGGTGGTGGCCCTGGACGTGCCCGAGGGCACCGAGTTCGGCGTCGACTGCAGCTCGTGGCAAGTGGGCCCCCGCTTCCGCGGCGTCAAGATGATCCCTCCGGGCGTCCACTTGGTGCACTACAGCGCGGCGGGCCGCAGCCCCGCCGGGACCCGCGAGACAGGCCCGCGCACGGGCTTCTTCGTGAGCCTGCGGCCGCGGGGGCTGCGCCTGCTGCGCTGGGACGCGGCCCGCGAGGAGCTGGACTTGAGCCCGCCGCCCGAGGAGCAGCTGGAGGCCGTCCGGGCCAACCTGCAGGAGCTGGATCGCTTCCTGGGGCCCTACCCCTACGACCTGCTGAAGAAGTGGGTCTCCCTGAGCAGCTGCCTGAGCGAGGAGGTCGTGCAGCGCCTGCAGCCCGAGAACGGGCAGATCTGCGCCTTCTCCGAGGTGCTGCCCGTGCTGCCCCTGACCTACACCAAGGACCGCGCCGAGCGCGGCCCGCCGTCCTGCGCCGCCGAATGCAAGAGCTACCAGGAGGGCCTGGCCCGCCTGCCCCAGATGAAGCAGAAAGCCGGCACCGAGATCCGTTTCACCACGTTGCCCAAGCAGACCTACCCCGACGGCGCCAGCCCGGCAGAGATTACCAAGCATAGCATGGACCTGAGCTACGCCCTGGAGACTGTGATTAACAGTCAGTACTCCACCAATCCCCAGGATGTCCTGGGTACGTATGACTGGTTCACTTTTGCCCCGAAGGTAAGAGGGACGGCTGAAAGTCAAGGTGGTGTCATGAGAAGAGCACTGAATTTGGAGTCATTAGAATTAAGAGGCCAGGCTTTACTGTTCACTACTCTTGGACCAGTCATTTCACCATCCTGGCGTTTTAGTTGCGTCCTTTGTAAAATGAAGCATAATTTTTAAGGTCGTCCTTGAGGCCTGATAGCTTATATGAAGTGGCATTGTGAGATCCCAATACTTTTATAGCTCCTCTTAAGGAATCGTAGATGGTCAGACCTAGGACAGATAGACCTAAAACAGATGTAGTCCATCTTCTTCCGTATGTTGCAGATGGCTTGATATGGCCCAGAGAGAAGAAGGTACTTGTCTAAGGTTATATTTGAACTCATTCTCCTGTCTCCTAGTCTAGAGCTTATCCAACAATACTATTCAGCTTTCCTCTTCAACATTTAACAAATGTTAAGCATATACTAGGTACAGAGTGCAGTAGGAAATAAAAAGATAAGTAAGACACAATGTCTTCTTGTAAGGAGCTCAATATAGAACTATAGTTAAAAGTATAGAGATAAATATAATACAGTGGAATACAAAGAAGTCCAAAAAACCATGAGATCAGGTTTCTAAATGAAGGGATTGGAGTATGTGACTTATAAAGGCCCTTAGAACTCTACATGCCATGCCACTGGCCAAAGAACTTAGGGAAGGGTTCACAGAGGAACTAGCATTTGAGCTGGGCCTAGGATGACCACAGGATGTCCAGAGGTGGAGATGAAATGAAGGGACATTTCTCTTAAACTATCAATTCCTTTTGCAATTTTATTCCCTTAACTTGCTTAGAAGAGGAAAATTTTGCATTAAAGACTTTGAGTCTTGTCACAGGATGTGTCAGGTTCTCTTGAGTGCTGGTCTAGTTGTATAGTCAGTGAACCAAGAACTAGTTCTCTCAGGTTTATGGAGTTTGTTCATGTGGAATGTTGCAAGTATAAAGTTGATTACAGCAGGATTTTTTTACCTACATAAAGCTTTACAAAGTACTTCTCAAGCTGTAATAAATTTTTACAGTCCTCCTGTGAAGCCGAGATAGCATTACCAGTCACCAACAGAATAACCAAGGGACACTCAAGTTCAGTTGCTAAACACCATCAGTTTAACAGTGGGTCTCAGCTACTGTTTGTGTATTACAAAGGTAGCTGGTGGATTTGCAGCATTTAACACATCTGCTCACCCTGATGGTTCATCATCATTTCCCCTATTGGCCTCCTGTGGCTCTCTTTGAGGAATAGTTTATTCTGTTGCTTTGTATCCCCTAGCACATTCTATAGCTCTCTTTCATTCCCCTCTGACTTTCCTGCAGTTCCTGAAATGCTTCCCTGTGTCTTCAACATCTGGCCAGTCCCAATGTAATTATAGTGTATAAAGCACTGGATTGTAGGTCAGGGTACTTGAGCACTGGTGTCAGTTCTGCCACCTGTCCATTATGTGATCTCAGGCAAGTCTACTCTGGGCATTAATGTTCCCATCTGTGAATGACGGTGTAAAATTAGATGATTTCTAATATACCATTCAGCTCCAAAAATTCTGAGTTCTGTGAGTCGCAGATCATATACATGCATTGCCCCTAAGAATTGTGAGAACTTAGAAATTAAGTTAGGATAATTTCCCTTTAGAGCCCTGCACTTCAGACTCCATTTCTCGGAATTGTTAAGTTGGGGCTGAGCTGCAGTGTTCAGGAGCATTGCCTTCTGCTCAGCCCCTGCTTGCCACAGTCAGATTGCTCATGTTTCATTTCCCCCCCACCCTGCTTACCCCACAACTTCTCTTTTGAAGGAAGAGAATTTATGAAGGTTCTTCCAAATCTGTGGCAAGGGTAAATGGTGATTAAAAGGCATAATGTCAGCAGGCACATGCAAATGGACTAGCAGGTCTCCACGAGATATAAGAAGGGACCAGAAATAGTGGTCAGAATTTCTTATGTGGTACTGGGACAAACCTGCTCAGTAACAGCAAGCAGGCAACAAGCATTTGTTAAGTGCTAACAAGGTGTCAGACACTGTGCTAAGAGCTGGGGATACAAATTCAAGTACCTGCTTTCAAGGAGCTTACATTCTAATGGGGGAAGACAACACATAAAAAGAGAACTGAAAATGGAGCAGAGGGGGACAAGAGGGATGGTGGCAGGCCAGAGAGTCTGAAGCACAGCTTGGTCAGCCTGAACCCTTCCCCAAAATGAAGACCCTGGAAGGAGCTCACCAATGGGAGAGGGGGTCGAGCATGAGAAAAGGGATGTTGACTCTGGAAGGCTTCTTGATCCTTATTGGGAGAGAAACGTGGTTAGTAGCTGTTTGAAGCATTTTGTGTTAAGACCAATGCTATTGGTATTGGTATACTTATAATATTTATATAGATATAAATACATAAATTTTTCTTTTGGAGTTAGAGCTGAAACTAGGGAGTAAGTAAGTAAATAAGGTAGACAGTTGCTGAAGTTGCAAGAAGGGACAACTTTTTATAAATGCATATATAGTTAAAATGTGTTGATATTATTTGTTTTTACATCACCTTCATTTCCAAATTTATACCTCCTTCCTCTCCTACTTGGTGAGCCATTTCGTTTAACAGAGAATAAATGTGAAAGGCAAAAAATCAGTTCAGCAAAACTAACCAACACAATAACTGAATCTGACAGTATATGCAGTATTCCACACCCATAGTCTCCAATCTCTGCCAAGAAAGAAGGAAGATATATTTGTTTCTTCTCAGGGGCCAAGTTTGGTGATTATAATTACATAGAACAGCGGTGGTTTTTTGGTTTCTATTATTTCCATTTCCATTATTGTAGGCATTGTGTGTGTATATGTTGTTTTCTCATTTTTGCTTATTGTACTTTGCATAAACACACATTTTTAATGTCAGAAACTTCTATTCTTTTTGGCATGTAAATATTTAGTGGAAAGTCATTCTGTGTGCTCCACGAAAAGCACAAAGCCTCCAGTGGACAGCAAGTCACATAGGGGGAGACCTTTAAGCTTCCCCTTGTGAACACAAATGCCTTAGAATCTAGAATGCCAACTGGAAGGGCTCTTAGACACTGCCTAGTTCAATTCCTTCATTTTACAGATGAGAAAAATGACCCTTGTGGCAAATAAATGGCACAACCAATACTCGAACTGAGATCTTCTAATCTTCAGTCTAGTGATCTTTTGACTATGCAATGCTGTCTTCCTTAGTACTCCCTTGCCTACTTGTGATTTCATCCATCTCCCCCAAGTTCTCCCAGTTGGGGGACCTAAAAATTGATAGTTGTAATCAGTCAAGGTCATCTATTCAATGTGAAAGATGCTTTAGGAGACTAGTGAAAAACTGGGATGGAGCTATAGGGACGATAAGCATCGCTTTCCTGGCTCTGATTGAAGGGACTATCTGGAACTATTTTTGAGAGTAAGTAGGGTGTCCTCTACTATGGATCATCTTATCTCTTTCTCAGTATCCAAGGCCATAGTTGGTCTTCATGAGGGAAGACAAGGTAGAGTTGTACCAAGTGGAGGTCAGAAGACCCAGGTTCTAGACCTGGCTCTGTCGGTGACTGGTTGGGACACCTTGCACAAGCTGCTTTGCCTCTCCAGTCCTTGGTTTCCTACTCCATAAAACAAAAGGAGTGGACTAAGGTTCTTTCCACCTCTGGCACTGTGTGATTTTTGTATCTTGAATAATTTCACTATTGTAGAGCTCTTACATTAGGTATTAGCTATCAGACTTTCTCCTGAGATTTGTATTTCCTTTCTCTGGGACTCATCAGCTGAGCTGCAGTTTGCCTTTATTTGCTTCCTGATTGGGCATGTGTATGATGCGTTTGAACATTGGAAGCAGCTGCTGAACCTCCTGTGCAGGGCAGAAGAAGCCATTGGAAAGTACAGCGCCCTCTACAGCCGCCTCATTTCCATCTTGTATCATCAGCTTGCTGAGATCCCTGCTGACTTCTTTGTGGACATCATCTCTCAGGACAACTTCTTAACCAGCACCTTGCAGGTAAGCTATCCTTCCAGGTGGGCCAGCAACTATGACAGAATAGATGTTTAATAGACACCTTTCTGTGGTTAGGTGAGAAAAGAAAGGGACTCTTTTAAATAAAGTCTTCCAAAATAGCTGTTACAACCCTATGATTTGAATAGGTACTTTCTATTTCCAGGCATTCTGCTAGGGGGACAAAAATTTTTTTATTTATTTCTATTTCTCAAGGACTGGGATAGTTTCCCAAACCTCAGAATCACCCCTACCACCACCACCACCATGTTTGAGGTATTTGGCCTGACACAGTAATTTTGCTTTAGCCTTATACTTCAGGCTTGAGTTTTGAAGATTATTCCCAGTGAAATGTCTGTAGCTCTTTAAATTTCATTTGAACATTAAAGTAACTTTGATTTCCTTTTCAATCAAAATGCCAGCTTCTGCTGTGGTTCTCATCTAGAAAAAAAGGAATTTCCTTTTAACTTAGCAATTAAATTTTCATTATGAGCTATAATTAGGAGAGATGCTTCAAACGATGTATAGTTTTCATCTTGTGATGCTCCTTCCCTTTTCAAATAGATCAGTCTCCTTAATGTGCTTGTGACCAGTTTCTGCCATTATGTGGTTCAGTTATTTCTTCAGGTCTAGAAGCCACTCAGACCTGTAAGCTGTTGGTTTCCATTATCTTTTCCCCATTGAGCTACTTCTTCCTGTGTGTAAAGGTGCTTTAGAAATCCCCAGTGCCTCGAATAGTCTATATTTTGTTGGTGCTTAGTTAATGTTTGTTGAAAAATGCTATTCCACTCATAGTGCTACTGCTTTATTCTCTATAACAGCTGGGCAGCTGGTAAGATCGATAAATGTGTATTAGTTGGTGATAGTGACAGCCTTCTCTAGCTGTACCTAAACCCACTCACTGTTGTGAATAGAGACTATTTTATCCCCAGGAAAGCTGTAGGATGATGGCATTAACTGACTTTTGCAGGACATCGCAGTATTTTATACTATAGCTAGAAGGTGGAAATGAGTCATGTTCATTCATGAACTGAACCTGATTTAACCAATTTGGGGGAGCTTTTAGAATGACCATGACATCACTCTTCAACAAATATATATTGAATCCTACTGTGTGCAAAGATCCCCCTCATACAACCTATGTTTCAGCTAAATAGCTTAATAACTGTTGTTCCCTATACATGACATTCCATCTCCTGCCTCCATGCTTCTTTCCCCCTTCCTCATATATTTAGAATGCTCTCCATCCTCATTTCCATCTCTTGGAACCCTGTCTTCCTTCAAGGCTTGACTTTAGTGCCAACTTCTTTATGAAGTCTTTCCTGATTCCTACAGTTGTTACTCCCCTCCCCCATCCCTTTATATTTATTTCATGTCTATCCTTTACTTCTCTGTGAACATGTTGTATCCCACAAGTTAAATGTAAACTCCTTGAAGGAAATAACTGTTTGACTTTTATATTGTATCCCCAGTGCCTTGAATAGTGCTTGGCATGTAGTAGGGGTTTTATAAATACTTGACTGGTTGCTAGATACAAATATTAATAATATAAAGTCCCTGCCCTCAAGTTGTTCATAATCTGTTAGGAAAAAGAAAAATAAGACATAAATGACTAGGAATAATAGTAAGTAGAATATAGAGGTGCATGAGAGGTAGAAAGTGCTAAGAGTGTTTGAGGTGGGGGATAGATAAAGGAAGCTGTATGGTAGAGGTTACATTTAAGCTAAGCCTGGAAGGATGGCTAGGATTTTAGCTATCAGAAATTAAAATAGGAATGGAAAGGGGGCATTCTAGGTGTAGGGAACTGTATATGTGAAGGTACAGAGGTGGTAGAGTTCACGATATGTTTGGAGAACATTTGAGTAGGCCTGTTTGGCTAGATTTTAGTTCATGTGAAAACAAGTGTTAAAATAAGCCTGAAAAGGTAAATCAGAGCCAGTTTGTACAGGACCTTGAATTCTTGGCCAAGAATTTGGACTTTATTCGCTAGGCAGCGGGGAGCTGTTGAAAGATTTTGAGCAGGGAAATAAAATGACCAAAGATGAGCATTAGGAAGGTTATTGTAGCAGCATGTGCAAGGATGACTACAAAGCGAAAGACTGGAGGAGGCGTAACTAGTTAAGAGGCTAAGCCAGAAAGAGCCATAGAGATCCTTATAATTGCTTGGGTAAATATCACTTAAACAAGGGTGAAAAAAGTCCCCAAGAAGAAAAAGAAAATGCAGCTATATGGGAAAAGATTTCTTTTAAGGTTGCTGGCCCCCATGAAGAGGCCTCCTTGAACTTCAAATGAGCATCCTTATAGATGCCAGAGCATCCTGGAGGTAGTTTTCACTTCAGTCTCCTTGAGACCTCCTCCCCATCCCTAAATACAATAAAAAACATTAGAGTTAGTTTAACCATACTAAAGCCAGCCTGTCATTGGCTCTCTAGGGCGTTGTCAGCACAATAGACAGCTGAGTTCTAATGCAGGATCTTTTTTGCCAGCAATGATTTATGAAGCAGAAAGAGCCCAGCTGAATTTTTATATTCCCAGGTGGGGTTTATAAAGCTGATGGTTGGAAAATTTTCTTCCTTTGACTTTTAACTGAGGAAATTTGGTATATTTATTTGGAAAACAATAAATGACTCCTTCCTCCCCCCTTTTTTCATTTTTTACTGTTTATAGAAAAATCATATTTTTAAATGAAAAAATAACATATATTAATATAGTCTTGGAAAAAAGTTAAATATTTCCTGGCCTTATGATTCAGTGGCTCTAGCATGGGGGCTTGCATATGGTTTGTTGTTATTCAGTCATTTCAGTTGTGCCTAACTCTTCATGACCCATGGTTTTCTTGGCAAAGATACTGCTATTTACTTCTCCAACTCATTTTACAGATTAGGAAACTGAGGTAAACAGGGTTAAGTGACTTGCCCAAGGTCACACACTCAGGACTTCCTGACTCCAGGCCTAGAACTCTATCCACTGAACCACCTTACCTGCCCTTTGCATATAGTAGGTACTCATTAAAAATTTGTTGAATTGAACAAATGGTTGTTTACACTTGGTATATCTTCTCCATTGGTGAACTGAAACTCAGTTTCCATGAGCTTGATTATATTTTTTCTTCAGATGACTTCCAAAAATCTATATAGCCAACCCTAATGTCTCTTCTGAGCTCTAATTCCCAATCTCTTACTATTTGATGGACATTTCTGCTTAGAAGTCTCGTAGGCATTTCCAGTTCACCATCCTGAAATGAAACTTAATATCTTCCCTCTCCAAACTTTCCTGTTTCTGTTGAGGGCACCCACCATCTTTCTAGTTGATCATCTGTATAACCTGGGAGTCATTCTTGACTCTTAACCTTTTCCTCTCCTCATATTGTCATTTGCCAAATCTTGTCCCTCCTACTTTCACAATATCTTTTATATTCATCTCCTCTACCTCACGTGACCAGTACCTAAGCCTTCATCACCTTATGCCTACATTGTCTCAATGGTCTCCTTACTGGCCTCTCTGATTTCAGGCTCTTCTAACATACTCCACCTGACTGCCAAAATACTTTCCCTAAAATCTCATCCTCTGATTCGCCTCCTCAAGAATCTTTATTTGGCTCCCTATTGTCTTTAAGACAAATACAGATTTCTCAGCTTGACATTTAGACCCTAGCTTTTGCCTACTTTTCTAGACTTAGTTCACATGATTCTCTTTTATGCACTCAGCATTCTACCCAGAATGATTTACTTGCTGTTCTCTAAACTCAGCAGTTTATCCTCCTACCTCTGTACCTTTTTATATAGGCCATCTACATCTTACACATGCCTGACCACAGCTCTCTTCTGTTCAACATTTTTATCAATGACTTCAGTGAAAGCACAGATAGTATGTTTATCGAATTTATGGATGACCTGAAGTAGGGAGAGTTAGGTGATAAACTGAGTAGCAAAATTGGAATCCAGAAAGGTCTACACTTAACAATTTGTTTGCTGAACTGGATTGATTCTGGAACAATTCACTTAATATAAAGAGAAGAAACTTAGTAGGGATAATATAAAGGTCTACATTTGAGTTTTAAAAATCAGGTACAGAAAGTTAATAACAATATATATGTTACTACACAATCTCATTAGATACTGACACCAACTTTGAGGGGTTATAGCACACCCAATGGTACCTTACTCCTCAATGGTACCTTACTTAAAGGTCAGGAAACTGGGTCTCAGCGAGGTTAAATGACTTGCCAGTAGTCACAAAGCCAGCAAGTGCCAGAAAGCAGGCTTAAACTCAGTTCATACCTACCTCCAAGCTAACACTTTTTCCACTATGCCACACTGCCCCAGAGAGAATGGGAAGAGACCACCTAGCTGAGAGTTTTTAAAAGACCTTAGCGGGGCGGCTGGGTGGTGCAGTGGATAGAGCACCAGCCCTGGAGTCAGGAGGGCTTGATGCTTACTAGCTGTGTGACCCCGGGCAAGTCACTTAACCCCAATTGCCTCACCCCCAAAAAAAGCAAGGAGAAAAATAAAATAAAAAAAATAAAAGACCTTAGGGAAGTCTCCCCCATCCACATTTGTCAAAGCTGTAGCTTACCATTCTTCCTTAAAACTTTTTTTTGTAGTGTAATTGTCTGTATTTAGATTGTTTATCCCTTTGGAATTCATTGTTATATGCTAGTCTAAGCCTGTGTTCTACCAAATTGCTTTCTGCTTTTCTGAATAGTTCTTACTGAATAAATTTGTTTTCCCACCAAAAAGAAAAAAGACAAAAACAAAAGATCTTAGAGCTTTGGTAAACTACATACTCAGTATGAGTTAAGTGTGACGTGACAGCCAAAAAAGCTAGGTGGCACCTGTGCTAGTATCCAAAAGAATTTAAAACTTCTTGTACTCTTCCCTGGTTGTATTATATTTGGAGTATTTTCTTTTGGGCACTTTGTTTTAGGAAGAACATTGACAAGGTGAAAACTATCCAGAGGATGGAGACCAGGGATGATGAAGGAACTTGAAAAGTGCCATCCAAGGAACAGCTTAAGTAGCTGATGATGTTTAACCTAGAAAAAAGAAGACTTTGGGGGAGGGGCAGGATGAGAAGAAGAGTAGATAGGAGAAGAGAAAAATGTGATCTATATCTTCAAGAATATGAAGTGATGTCATAGAGAAGAGGAATTAGGTTTGTTCTGCTTAGACTCATAGAGCAGACCTAGCAACAATTGGTAGTAGTTGTAGAAAGTCAGATTTACTCCAGGGCAAAGGAGAAATTTCTTAACACTTGATACTAGCCAACAATGGAATGAGCTGCTTCCTGAGGGTATGAGTGCCCCTTCACTGGAGGCTTTCCAGTAGAAAGTGACCTATTCAGCAAGCATTTATTAATTGTCTATTATGTTCAAGGCATTGTGCTAGATATTGGTAGGGATCTAAGACAAAAAAGGGACCAGCCCTAGACCTCAAGACATTTACATTCTTATGGACAACCACTAGGGATGTTGTGGAGGAGATTCCTGCTTAGAGGAAGATTAGACTAGGTAACCTCTGTAGGCCAAACTCCAAATTCAGTGATTCATTCAGTTTTCAGACATAGTTACAAAATTAATGTGAGGAAAATACAGAATAAATTGTTGTTTTAAATATGTTCATCTTTATCAGAATGGTAGAAAAAATGCTAAGACCCTTTCAGGGTTATGTCATATCATAAAAATACACTAAAACGTTATTAAGATGAGTCTTCATGTTTTAGGATTAAAATCAGAATTTAAATTGAATTCAAATACTTATCAGATTTAATCTTGTCTGGCAGTTGTCACCTCTTGGCATGCTAGACTCACATTTAATGCCCTAAATCCAGCATCTAGCATGCAGCTTCATTGTGGAATTTAGGTAGGAGCTGTTGACGATCAAATCCTGGTTATCTGGGGAGAATGAAGCTTAATCAAAAGTTCCAGTCAGCTAAAGAATTGCTTTTTATTGCCTTAGTCACTTGCCTTTCCTATTGTTCAGTCAAGCAGCAAGCATTTATTAGGGGCCTGCTGTGTACAAACACTGTGATAGGTGCTAGGGATATAAAGACAAAAATGAAAAAGTTTCTACCCCGAGGAACTTATATTCTCAGACAAGACAATATGTATACATGTAAGTACATACAAAATGATGAAAAGTCAGTGGTGAGAACATCAATGACTGGGTGTGGGGGTGTGGGAGTCAGGAAAGGCCTCTCGGAGGAGGCACCATTTGAATTGAGCTTCGAAGGAATCTAAAGATTTGAAATGAAATGTAGCAGTTTAAGTTCGACTTGTTATGAAAGTTGTAGCAAACAAATCTTTCTCTGCAAACAGCAGGAACAGTAACCTTCTGGCAAAATCATTTTTAACACTCTACACCCCCTGTTTTGCTTGTGCCTAAATAACCAGACATTGGACTTAAGATTTGTATTGGGTACAATAATGACAAAAGATTGGAATAGTCATTGTCAGAGTGGTTGTAGAAAGACTACTACCCTAATGTATTGTGTTACTGTGCAAGAGTCCAACCATTTTTGGAAAACAACTTGAAATTATGTAAAGAAAGTGACTAAAATGTCCACGTCCTTTGACTCAAAGATCCCACTGATAGGTTTATGCTCCGTGGAGGTCAGTACCAACAACATCAACAAAAACCACATACGCCAAAAATATTTATAGCAAAACTCTTTATAGTAACAAAGAACTGGAAACAAAGTAGATATCTGTCACTTGGGGAATAACGAATTATGGTACGTGAATGTAATAGATATTACTGTGCTGTAAGAAGCAGTGAATGTGATTAATTCAGGGAAGCATGGAAGGATTCATGTGAATTGATGTGAAATGAAGTAAGCAGAACCAGGAAAGACAGTTATGTCCAGTGACTACAACAATGTAAATTGAAAGCGCAGCAACAGGAAGCAGTTGAAGCTGAATGCTCTGGTTATGACCAAGCTTGGCCCCAAACAAGAAATGTGAGAAGCCATTTTCCTCACCCCTTATTTGCAGGATTGGGGGACTATGAGTATGGAGATTTGTGTGGGACAGTGGCCAAAGAGAACGTTATGGCACAGTGGAGAGTGCTGGGTTTGGACTAGGAATGCCTGAGTTTCAGTCCCATCTCTGACTCAAGATTTGTGAACTGGCCCAAAAGTCATTTAGCCTTTTAGCCTCAGGCAACTGTCTTAAGGCTATAAATTATGCTTTGATCTGTTAGTGGTGGAAGTTCCTATATAGAGGAAATCAAGTTCTGATAGAAAGTTCTTTGCTTCAACCACTGTGTTCTTCAAGGACCCTCCTTCTTTGTTCACATCCCTAAATATGCCAAACTTTTATAACAAATCAGATTATACAGAGTATATATTTATATTTCTAAGCTAAAAAAGTGATTTTAGATCTGCAAAAGATATTTGAAAATGTTGCACATATTTATATTTCCCAGTTTCTATTGCCTCCTGTCAAAAAGAAGGAAACATTATGGTTTTTCAGCATGTTATCTTCAAAATTTATAAAAAGTTTATAGAAGTTTCATATTTTTTCCTTTAGTAGCTTAAGTGAAACTTACTCGTTTCAGTTCTATCACTTAACTGGTTGTGTCACGGCCTTGGATAAATTGCTTAACCAACTACTCTGAGCTTCAGTTTCCTCATCTGTTAAATGAATATGGTAATTCCTCTCTTGCTGGGCCTTAAGGATTTGTCTTGAGGATCAAATGAGAAAAGGGAAGACGACATGATTTTTAAATATCTGGGATTATTGGCATTAGAACAGAAGGATGTGTTGGCTTGTATTTTCTCCTAGCCTCTAGTTAATGTTACCTTGGGGCAGGTGTATGGGGAGCCACTTTGTTCCATCCCCCTTATTACTAGTTGCTACTAGATTCAGGCCGATGATTATACTTGTAGGGTAGTTCAAGGCTCCCCCCACCCCTCCCCAGGCTGCATTTTGCCCACCCCTGCTGTCCTTGGAACTGTTAGTGTCTCAGTGTCTCTAGCATTGCCAATGAGTGTTCATTTGCTGTGTGAGACCAGGAACCTGGAGAGGAAACTAGTGTCACACTGGCAGCTTAGAAGGAACCTGAGGTGAGCTGGAAGTGGATAAGGCCCCTGTAAACCGAGCTGCTTGTAAAAGGAGACGCTTGAGTGTGGCACTCGATTCCATTAGATGTCTGCTCTCTCCCTACTGCCCTCCAGCTCTGGGAGCTACACTCATTATCGATCTTGCATTTGTTTTGGTTGCGCTTTATGCTCTTACCTTTAGTTCTTCAGGTTTCTCCCCCTCTGTCTGTAACCTTTGATCTAGCTTCCTCAGAATGAAATCATTCAAAGCAAAGACCAGTGACCCTTCCCTTTGGTTCTGTTGTTGTGCTTGATGGTGTGGGAGAAAGGGACTTAGGAATGGGATATAAAGAGGATTTGTTGACTAGGGGTGGAGGAAGGGAGATGTTTGTTCAGACCTATACTGCTTTACCTAGTATCTAGGACAGTTGATTGGAAGGGGGCTGGGAAAGATCATAATATGTTTTTTCCTCATCCCCTAAAAAAAAAAAACAGAAAAACTATGCAAGATGAAATAAAGTGGAAAAAGAAAGGTCATCGCTCTAGCTCCACTGATAATTGGCAAAGGAAGTTTATAATTTTCCAGTTGGAAGGGACCTTAGAATTTATCTAATTTAAGCCTTACCCCTAAAGCATGAATTCCCTCTGTAACATCCCCAAGTGAGATATTCCTGCTTCTGTGAGTCTTCATTCACTCTCATGGGGTAGTTGTTCCACTGTTAGGGAATTCTTCCTTATATTGATCCAAAATCTGCCTCCTTAGAACTGCACCACTGATTGTGGGGGGGGGGGGGGTACCTTCAGGCCTTTGCTACCTGCTTCTCCTCCAAAGATGTGTCCCTTTAGTGGCAAGGCATCTATAAGTTGGATATGCCACCACATAGCACATAGGTGAGACCTGACCTTGGGGTGAGGTAGCTCTATCTTGGACATTTATTTTCTAACCAAATTATGTTCCTGTTTCTCCTTCTCCTCTTCTCTCTCATTGGGTAGAATACAGTAGGTGTCCTGGACAACAGCCAGTAGCAGCTGATCCACCAGTTATAGGAAGAGATCAGCCCAGCAGGGAAATTTCCACATCCCCATTTCTGCTTGATCTCATTTCTAAGGAATGACTTTTTTTTTCTTTTATTCCCTTCAGGTTTTCTTTTCCTACATTTGCAGCACCACTGTTGATGAGACACTGAGGCGGAAGGCAGAGAAGTTCAAGGCCCATCTGACTAAGAAATTCAAATGGGACTTTGAGGCAGAGCCAGATGACTGTGCCCCAGTAGTGGTGGAGCTTCCAGAAGATGTTAACTTGGAAATGACAGGCTAGCTCTGAGACCATAAGCAAATGATTCTCTTCTTTCCAAGAGGCCAGTCATCTTGAATTTGAAGCTCCTTTCTGCTGGATGTCCTTTTGAACTGTGATGGGGAGCTAGAGTTCCATTGTCTCTGGTCCCATTTCATGGGTTTGGAATAGGGTGTCTATGTCTACTAACCTGGGTCCCTGGGGCTTCTGCTGTGGCCCCTTCTCACCTCCTGCTACACCAGCCTGGTACTTTACTGGTCTGATTGAATTTCACCAAAACTAACTCTTATGTAAGATCTTCAAAGAAGCTGCCTGAGTGACAACTTAATTCCTTCTAAAGGAAAATTGAACTGGGAGAGAGAGCCACCAAATTTTCCTTGGGAAGGAGACTGCCTTGGGATAGGTTGTTGTTTTTTTTTTTTTTTTTAATCAGAAACTACAAACTCTATCTTTGTTAGTATTTGATATTATTATTTTCCCTAGATGTCTTTCAAAGTCGGTGGAAGGAGAGGAGTGTAGTAGTGACAGGTGAGAAGATTACTGTGCCTGCTAAATTTTAATATTGTTGTTTGATGTTCTGAAACAAGATGTCTCCAAAGGAAATCCAGATGTATTCGAGGTATGGAAGACAGTTCAGCAGTGCCTGAGGACTAGAGTAGTTTTCAATCTCTGCTTAAATTACATTCCACTAGTTCTGGGGTCAGATCATCTAACTCCACTGGGCCCAGGACAGTTACTATGAGAGGCCATACCACCTGCATAGCCTGCTGCAGCCATGACACCCTTTTCTGATCCTTCTGGAATAGGAATCCCGCCACATGAACTGATGAGCTTCTCTAGAACTGCTTGGTAAAAGAAGGCTTCCCACGATGGTTTTTGGTATTGCTGTAATTCAACAGCAAGAAGAAAGCAAACCTCCTCCTCCCCCAGTGGTTGTTTCCATATGTTATGGAAGCTTTGTGGCCCATGTTGGGACCTCTGAATAGTTTACAATTTTACCTAACTTCCCTAGGCCTTAGTGCCCTTTCCCCTGGCCTCTTCCCCCCATTTCTTCCCTGTAACTGTCAGTTTTTCTGATTAATTGAAGCATCCACCTGGAATGGAGCTGAAAGGTTATGCCAGTAACCTGTAGGCAAAATGTTGTATTTGAAGGGAGACTGCCCTGAACTGCTCACCTTGTCATGTTGTACAACAGAGCAAACCCCCGCTGCCACTTTCTCTAACACACATTCTGGTGCTTCAGCTTTTGAATGAGAATCCTGACTAGGTAGGATTTTTAGTTCCACTTGTTTCCTTGGAGATTGCTTTATAAGAAGGTTGGATGTATTAAATCTTTTCCTTGAGAATAAAATTGTTGCGTGTGAGTCTCTACATAGGTAATGTTGGTGCTCCAGACTAGGGCATTGTCAGGTTTGCCATTTCCATTTTTTCAGCACTTAAAGGGAGTCCCTTACCCCAGCTAATTCCTGGCCCCATTCGGCCCTAAGGATAAGGAGCAGGGTGGCAGCCAAAATTTCCTTTCCTTCACTTTACCTGTGGGAAAACTGAGACAGAGAACAGATAAATGACATGAAGTTTTTAAAACTGCCTGTAACCTTAGAGATCATCTATTCTAACTCCATTTTATGGATGGCAAAGAGCACATAAATCAGGAGCTAAGTTAGAAATACATCCAATAGAACTATATTCCCTGCCTGCATTTCTCAATAATATTTTAACTTACAGGCATTTAATTTTTTCCCTTAGTATTGAGAAACCAGATTATTACAGGAGTGAAGCTGGTGAGAAGAGAATGCCTTGAAAAGACAAATTCACAAACCTAACGTCCTGAGGATGTATTTGTAAAGCTGATTTGTTTATATTTTTAGCACAATCAACAGAAGGACTGCTTTTCTGACCCTTTCAGCTGCCTTGTGACAAACGATGACTGTTCCCAAGCCTTGTTCAAGCAAATTTCATAGCACTCAACCAGCAGAATGGCTCCCCTGCAACTGATCTCCCTTACCCATGAGCAACGAGTTTCCCTGCATCCTCCTGTTGTAAATATTATTTAATGTTCCTGTAGCTCAGCAGTCTGCTGTGTACTCGGTAGTCCACCAGATTTTGGTCAGATTCTAGCCCCTGCAGCGTGATGGGGAGGAAATGCAGAGTAGATGCAGTGGATGCACTGAAAACAAGTCACGTCAGGTAGTGTAGGCTTTAAAGGGAAGAGGGATGGTTAGGATTGCCTGCCGTGGGGAATGGTGGCTCTGGGCTGAAAGGATAGGTTGAAGACCCTCTCCTAAGCACCCAGAGATTCTCAGAAGCTTTTGCTTCAGGCTATATCTGCTTTCAGCCCTTTGAGAGATCCTGTCTTTGGACTAACTCATCTTGTTTTTGAATACCTACTTTCCATTGAACTCTTCTAGTTCTTCAACTTCATAAATCCAATTTGCAGGCTTGTCCCCTCTCCTGCTATGTGCTTGCTTCTATGTTGGGTGCTAGATGGAATAGTCAAAAATAGGGAATAGTTATTCAGTGACAGCCTAGAGGGCCCCATCCAAGGGAGAAAGGTGACTGGAAGTTTCCCAAGAGTCTCAATGCCCTATCTGCCAAACCTTACGCAGGACCAAATTCACCTTTAAGTATTTCCTGATTCTAGTTATTAAACCAAGGTCCTTCTGTTTGTACCACTTTCTAACGCTTTGGAAAATTGGAAATAATATTGTGTCAAGCTGGTAGTGAGAGCTGCTGTACTTCGTTATAAAAACTGCTTAGTGGGCTGAAGGTAATGTGAATTGTAACAATTACCATTATTATTTTTGGCATATACTTAGTGGGCCACGGGTAAAATGAATCACAGCTGCTCAGAATTGGAAGGGACCTCAGAAGGTCAAGGACTTTATGTATAGAGGAGATTCATCCATCAAACAACCTGTTGAATGAATGATATGACCTCTCTGGTATCTCCCAAAGGTAGGATTCTGTAAGTCTTTGATAGTTGAACATCATAAGGTTTGGAGCTGAAAGAGATTTTAGTGGTAATTGAATCCATGTCCTTCATTTTATAGGTAGGGAAACTGAGGTCCAGAGGGCAAATGACTTGTCTCAAGTAACACAGGTAAAAAGTAGCAGAGCTGAAATTTGAACTTGCATCCTCTGACTTCAAAGCCAGGGTTCTTTAACGTAGCGTGGAGTTGGTTTCTTGGACTGTGGACTGCACTCTGAAGTATTCTGTGATGGCAATACCCTTCTTATCTAGACTAATGGCTTTTCCCACTGGACAAAACATCTCCAATTCTTTTTTAAGATTATTCAGTTTTATTTGTCAAGTCGTCATTGGGTAGTTGGAAAAGAGAGGCAGGGTTGAGGTTAATCCTTGACAGCAGCCTTCCTCATGGCAGGCAGGATGTTTTGCTGAACTCCTTTCTCTCCCTCTTGGAAATCCCACCTTTTTTTTTTTTTTAATGAATTTGAGTTCTCTTATCCTTGGAGATTCTTAACAATAACATGGCCTTTCACAAGTTTCAAACACACACACATCCCAAATCACGTCTCTCACAAACTTTGAGTTTGGTCAAGCACCCCCAGTGGCAGTTTTGAGGCTTCAAAGCATTCGTGGTGACTTTGGGGCCCTTTTTGAGGCCCATGGCCATGGGGTAGCAGATGCCATGGATATGGTGTTACTGTAGCTTTAGCAGCCACAGCAAAAGATCCCTGGTTCTTTAAACTTCCTGGTAGCCTTCCTTTGCATGTGATACAGCTTGATGATGTTCCTCCTAAAATCTGGTATCAGAACTGAACACAGTTCCAGGTACAATCTGGCCACTGCAGAGTACATTGCCAATGAACAGTTACTGAATACAGACTTGGCGTGGGGGCAACTTTGGTTGTGTGCCCCAGCGCATTCTACTGGAGAGGCAAGAGTTGTAATTCCCACCACTATGGACCAAAATCCATATGTGTGAGGTTGATGACAGCTGTCTTAAGCTTTGAAAAATAACTTTCATTGTATAGTCCCATAGAGACATCTTGAAAGATTTGCCCAGTCATGGTGTGTTGTCACTGTGGGGCTTTAAGAGGCTTATTTCATTATCAGGCTCCCAGTGGGGCAGGCTTTGCCTTGTAGATCATCTCCATAGTCAGTGGTGCCAAATGGTTGTGTTCATTTATCTACTCTGTTCTCCTTAGCAGGCCTAATCAGGAGCATGATGCAACCTCCCTTCTGGGCTTTCTGTCCACTTAGTTCTGGAGGGAGCCAGAGGTTGGAAGTTGCTGCATTAGCACAACATTGTTAGGTTTTAAAAGGCCCACATTGCAAAGCGCCTTGAAATGATGAAGGATGAAATTAATTTTGTTACAGATTGTGTCTTTTCAGTTTTTAATTTGGCTACACATTGATTTGTTTTTCCTCTTCTCTTATGTCTTTTGGGTGGAGAATATAATCATCTCATTTAATTTATCTCTCAACATCCCCATTGAGGCAGGAAAAGTACTTCTACGTTTTATAAATAAGTACCAGAGGTTAATTGTTTTTTCCAAGGACACACGGCTATTCTGAGATAGTGCCAGGACCCGAGCCTAGGTCTAGTCTTTTAGCTCCTCAAGAGATGTGCTGTGCCCAACTGCCTTGTCTAACCCCTTCATTGTTTTATTTTCATGAGCTCCTGTGAAGCAGGGATGCTCCCAGAGCATATGAAATACAGACTTTGCCACAGGCTGATTCTTCAAGGGACTCAAAAATAACCACGGCAGGTACTACTGTGGATTAAGTCCCAAGTCTCTAACCTGGTGTGGGTAAATCTAGACCCCTGGACTTAATGACCTTAATGATTTATATCAAAAAGTATATAACAATGCCAAGTTTCTTCCTTGATGGGAAAACATAGATTCTGCCACTGAATCCCTTTAAGCATCAGTCAAACGGAGGCCCTGGGGTATGTTAGAGGAGTAAGCTGTCTAGGAACCAGACTGTGGAGGGCTTTCAATACCAATCTTTGATGTCTCGGGCAGTAGGGAACAATTGTTGGTTCCAGAGCAGGAGTGCGATGTGAGAATAAGCGACGCTGCTTGAAACCAACTCCATTTTTCTATTTAAACTGAGGGTCCCCAGAAAGGCCAAGACAGGAGGTCCCCACGAAGCAGAAAGCAGGGATGCTGGCATCAGCCTATCTCACAACCAGGTGCTATTATGTTTGGTCATTATGGGCAATAGGGAAATTGTCCGACGAACCAGAAAAGGGATGAATCAATAGTCTGGCTGTCAGGATAGTTACTGTGTTCGGATGTGAGCACAGACCGTGTGGAGAAATGCCCAGTCTGAATGAATGGGAAGGACAGTGATTGGAGAGCACGTCGTTGGTGAGTCATCACTAAATCTGTCCCTGTGATAGAAACAAGTCCAGTCTTGACCACATATTCATTAAAGTCAGAATGGAATCAAGTGGGCCAAGTTTTCTTTTTGGGGGGAAGCAAGGGCTAGCAGTGAGTTAGGCTTTAGGGCACAATTTTCAAGGTGAGACCCAAAGGGATCTGAGCTCTGGACATTAGGACTTCCACTCACAGACTGCTTGGAGATTTTGAATTGAACTTTGCATATTAATTTGTTGTGTGGCCCTGCCCAAGTCTCTTCCTCCTCAGGTGTTCAGTTTCCCCAGCTATAAAAATGAGGTGTCTCTAAAGTCCATTGCAGCTCTGACATTGTGAGAGTCCATAATACTTGGAGTATATGCAAGTAGTTTGTATGTGCCTATGTGAAGTGTCTTCATGTGTCTGTCATGTTGGTGCCTGACTTTCATCCAGGGGGATGGGGTGAGAGAGTTGCTCTTGGTCATCTTGGATGAACTTACAATGATCCTTTAAAGCTGCTTCCTGTCTTTCTCCCAGGCCACCTGCCCTATCCATCTAGGTTATTTTAATTTATATCAGTGGCTTAGGATGCAAATTCTATGCAACACCACCTGTGCATTTAAGGCTGCCTTTTGTACTTGCATACTTGAACTGGGAGCCCAGCTGTGGCTTTGACCTTCATGCCTTTCTAACCCCCAGACCAGCCTGACTCTGCTGTTCTCCTCTCCCACCTTTTTTCCTGGGCCCCTACCTTGCAGATCTGAAGGCTGACCAGGGCTAAGGCCAGGAGCTTCCTCTCAGGTCAGGTTGGAGGCCACTTTGACCCCTGGATATGTAGCTTCCCCTTGAGTCTACTTATGACCTTGGAAGAGGAGCAGTCAGGCTGGTTTCTGGAAGGAGCCCTGGTTTCAAATTCTGTCATTCACTTTTTTAGGTGACCTTAGAAAAGTCTCTTGACCATTCTATGTCTTGGTTTCCTTAACTGAAAAAAACAAGGTTAGTTAAGTCTGCACTTGCCTTACAGGGTTGTTGTTAGGGAGAAA